GTTTCCTTCCATAGTTACTGCGCGGACACCGACGTGCTCCCGTGAGCCGCGTACGTTTTCTCGCGTACGCTGCGTAAACCGCGCTTCCTCCTGTGCGCCTCTAAACCAGAACTAACACCAAGACTAAAACCGGGACTAACCCAGTCCAGGACTAAACCAGGACTAAACTAGGATTAAACCAGGACTAAACCAGAACTAAAACCAGAACTAAAACCAGGTCTAAACCAGGACTAAACCAGGACTAAAACCAGAAGTAAAACCAGGTTTAAACCAGGACTAAATCAGAACTAAAACCAGAACTAAAACTAGGTCTAAAAGAGGACTAAACCAGGTCTAAACCAGGACTAAAACCAGGACTAAAACCAGTGATCTCATATATAAAGCATTTCTCTGTCAATAATATTTTTAATATGGTTAAGGAAAGATTGGACTTTTTATTGTCTTTAAGTAGACAAAAGTTATTATATTCAGATTTCCTCATCTTTGCTACTTTACAGCAAACAGTTTCTTATTCATGGAGACTTGGGCTCAACAGCCAATTTGAAGAGAACATACAAGAACAATATTTGCAGGATGCGGTTGCTACATTCATGTAGTTTTAAAAAGCATGACAATATCAAGTAATCCAAAGTATTCAAATTATGTTACTCACTTTAAGTAATTAAATGGATTAAATTACAAACTACATTTTGGGGTATGTAATCTGTAATCTGTAGGGGAATACATTTTAAAAGTAACCTTCCCAACACTGCAGATTAGTAATAGTAATAATAATGATGATACTGTAGAATGTACAATAAATGACTTTATAAAGTCACTTTTTTTGTTTTATATCAGTCTTTTGATCTGCCACAATAATGTAATAATGAATTTAAATGAAAATTCCTCAAATTGAAGGCTTTTCTCAGCAATTTTTAGGTGAGATTTAAAGAGATTAATTAGATTAATTAATTACAGATCATAATTAATTAATCTCTAATTTTTTTTAATCGCATGACAGCACTAGCTATAGTTACTTTACATTGTACTTCAGAGTACTTTTCTAACAGAATACTTTGACTCCAGTTTGAGAAATTTTTTTACTGAAGTGACAGTATACTTTTCTAACAGCATATTTTTACTCCTATTATTTTGAGTAATTAACATTATTCTTACTTGAGTACAGTGTTTGGCTGGTCTACCACTTCCATAACCAACTGTAGAAAGTATCTAACATCAGAGGTCACCAACTGAGCAGGGCAAAGGAACGCCAAGCCCCTGTGAAAAATGCCCACTTAGAAGGAAGTAGGCGGGAAGCAGGAAGTGAAGCAGGAAGTCCAACAGGAAGTACATCAGGAAGTACAGCGAGATGGATTAAGTGGACATCCGGCAGGTCCAACAATCAGACTCTGTGTTGTATTTGGCAGTTGCCTAGTGACACAAGGACACAAGTGTACAGACACAAACACAGACTTTATTGTGGAGTTTAGATAAGCCTTAAAGACGAGGTCTATGGGCTATTAACTGTAACACACAACAGATTCAGGCCTTCATCATGGGGTTCGAGTTATATTTGGGTGAATATAGTGTTTTTATCTTTTGAAAACATTATATTCACCCAAAACAACATATTAATATGTTTTATAAGTTTCACAGTCTGAGTCCCCTCTCCCTGTACTCTCCACTCCCCCTTCAGAGCGCTCTCACTACACAATCAGTGTGCATCCCGCTAATGAAACTACTGCACATCTCATCAGGTTTGTGAAGTTATAGTGTAGCGTTGTTTGCTGTTGTTTGTCATCTTTTTGTATATTCTTGAAGAATTGTCATGTGGGAGCATGAGGCTTATGGGTGGAGCCTTATACAGGCTTGTACTGCTGACCGTACCACTGCACGCATCTAATTCTAAAACATCTTATCGATCACAACCCATAAGAAAGAGCCATGTGAGTCACTATACAGTGGAGGAAATAAGTATTTGATCTGTTGTTGATTTTGTAGGTTTGCTAACTGACAAAGAAATGAACAGAACTGCACAGAAATCCTGCAGGTCCCCCCTGCTTAAGAAGGCACATGTGCAGCCCGCTTGAAGTTTGCCAATGAACACCTGAAGGTTTTAGAGCAGGACTGGGAGAAGGTGCTGTGGCCAGATGAAACCAAAATCAAGCTCTTTGGCATTAACTCAACTTGCCGTGAAAGAAAATTGCTGCCTGTGACCCCAAGAACACCATCCCCAAAGTCGAACACGGAGTTGGAAAAATTCTGCTTTGGGGTGTTTTTCTGCCAAGGGCACTGGACAACTTCACCACATGAACAGAAGGATGGACAGAGCCATGGACCGTTAAAATTCTGAGTGATGACCTCCTCTCTTCCACCAAGAAACTGAAAATGGGTTGTGGATAGGTCATTCAACACGACAATGACCCAAAACATAAAGCCAAGGCAACGAAGGAGTGGCTCAAGAAGAAGCACATGAAGGTCATGGAGTGGCCCAGACAGTCTCCTGACCTTTACCCTGTAGAAAACCTATGGAACGAGCTGAAGCTCCAGTTGCCAAGCAACAGCCATGAAACCTTCATGATTTGGAGATGATCTGTAAAGAAGAGTGGACAAGAAAAGTCTGACCTCTGAGCTGCAACCCAGGGTGTTGATATGAAATATTAAGTCTTTTTTGGCTTGAGGGTTCAAATACTTATTTCACTCCATGAAATGCAAATCAGTTTATATATGATTTATTGAAGTTATTTTCTGGATTTTCTTTTTGATATTCTATCTCTCATTGTTAAAATAAACCGACTATTAAAATGATAGACTGTTCATTTCTTTGTCATTATACAAACTTACAAAATCAGATCAAATCCTTATTTCCTCTCTTTGGGATGAGAGCTGATTGGCTGTGTGTTTGTGGTCCACCCTGCTTCACTTCCTGTCTGAAAACACCATGTCCAACACATGTGATCGATGCCAAATGTTTGTGAGAGAGGAAGTACTTTTGATTGAGAATCCAGATTTAAACCAGATCAAAGTGAGTTTTACTGCCATCGTCAGGGAGCAACATTCACAAACTAACAGAGGTGGAAAGTACTCAAATACATTTATTGAGTAAATTTTAAACAAAAGTACTCTTCTCAGGACCTTTCCATGGAGACGGAGCTGGAGGCGGTGAACGGCCGAAAGGTCCGAGCCATCGAAGTGTTCGCCCACGCCCTGCGCTTCTTCAGAGAGCACGCCCTAAAGGTGACCCCACACACACCTATACACACACACACACATGCACGCACACACACACAGAACTATACACACAGACACATGCATGCACACACACACACAGACCTACACACACACACACAGACCCATACACACAGACACATGCACACACACAAACAGACCTATACACACATACAGAGCTATACACACAGACACATGCACGCACACACACACACACAGACCTATACACACAGACACATGCACGCACACACACACACACAGACAGACCTATACACACAGACACATGCACACACACACACACAGACCTATACACACAGACACATGCACACACACACACACACACACACAGACCTATACACACACACCTATATACACACACTCTGCTTCTTCAGAGAGCACGCCCTAAACGTAACCCCACACACCTGAAGGAGCGTGATGATGATGGTGATGATGATGGTGATGATGATGACAGTGATGATGATGATGATGATGACAGTGATGAGGATGATGATGTTGATGATAACGATGATGACGATGATGATGATGGTGACGGTGATGATGATGATGATGACAATGATGAGGATGATGATGTTGATGATGACGATGATGATGATGATGATGACGGTGATGATGATGATGATGACAATGATGAGGATGATGATGTTGATGATGACGATGACGATGATGATGACGGTGATGATGATGATGATGATGATGACAATGATGAGGATGATGGTGATGATGAGGATGATGACGATGTTGATGATGACGGTGATGATGATGATGGTGACGGTTGTGTGTGTGCAGGAGGTGAAGGAGCAGTCTTCGTCAGTGTTAGAGGGGGAGGAGATCCGCTGGGTCATCACTGTGCCGGCAGTGTGGAGGCAACCGGCCAAACAGTTCATGAGAGAGGCCGCCTACCTGGTACTGCGCACACATACACACACGCGCGCACACATACACACACACACACACGCGCGCACACACACACACACACACACACACACACACACACACACACATGAGATAGAGGCCGCTGTCACATTCTTCATCACATTCTAGAATCTGAAAACCACCAATAGTCATTATAATTCATGACCTCCCTGCACTTCCATTGGTTCCCTACTCACATCAGGGTCCGGTCAAGTGGTAACAGAGGGAAACAGGGGCAGATTTTGTACATTCAAATAGCTATTATTCAGAAACTATTCAGGACTATTGAAATAAGTAAAGTATCAGAATGTAGGAAAGAGTTAACACTCCAACAGGGTAAAGTTAAACCTGTGATATTCTTTCAAGTTGTTGACAAAAAATTTAAAAACTCATGTTGGTAACGGAGGCAATGAAATATGCTACACTTTTTGGGCAATAAACCAAACAGTGATAACTAGTGGTTCTCACTTACATATCCTTAACAAACTGGTTTGAATATTTGCTTCATATAGTTTTCTACCATATGGTACAAGATTAGGTTGAAAAACCTCTTACTTTTTGAGTCATGAGATTTTTTATTAAGAAAGGTCATGGTAACGGAGGGAAAAGTAACGGAGGGAAAATTGTGCAAGCAACTAGAAGGTGCATGATTTTGCATCATTTGTCAACTTTTTTTCTTCCGAATACTTTAATATTACTTCAAAATGAAAGGAAACTATTTCTATAAAATATGTCAGTCCTTCCAAGCTAATTTTTATCATTTTAAATACTTATATAACACAAGATATGATGAAATACATCAATTTATTTACATGATTTGCAGGTCTTTGGGAAATAATTTTTGTTCCATGTTTCATACATGGTCTGTTTAAAACGTATGGAACTTTAGAACCAAAAATGGTACAGAAAAAGGGTCACCAGTTTCATAAACTAGAGTACATATGTATCTGTTGAGTAAATTTTTATATCAGATGCATTAACTTGAATTTTTGGCCTTGCTGTTTACTTCTGTTTGATCGGGCCCATCACAAACATTTCAAGAAAAACATCTGACACAAAATCATGATCCACATTTAGACTGGATCTATGTTCAGAGCCTCAGAGGATGACGTCATCTGAACTCCAGACTAACTGGAATTGAAAAGCTGATATTTAAATCCGAGAGAGTAGAGTCATTTTATAGAGACTACAGTGCAGTTCTATGGTGCACAAAAGTCAAGAAGAAGAAGAAGAAAACTCCGGCTGATGGTGGGATTCCAGCTCCCACACACGCATAATCATTGTGTTGGTTGGCTAGACACTTATACCATTTACCAACCACACCTACACACGTCTGGAGACAGGAACACTTGGGCGGTTATGCTGTGAGGCTGATGACACAGGAAGAACATGCAAACAGAAGCCAGCGCCCTGTCACTGTGAGATCACCCTGATAGAAGCAAGACTCCAAGAGTATTTTGTTCACGACCCCACGCCCCACTCACACTGCAAATCTGTCCAAGATATCTACTGTTGTTTTTTTCACTCCGTCACTGTTACGGTGCACTACTTTGAATTTGGTCATCCTGGGGGGTGAGCATCCTGCCCCCCCACCCCTCACCCCCCCCACCCGCTGCTCAAGGTGATGATGTCATAAGGAGGGAAGTGTAAGGAGACGGACACGGACCCCCACCCCCCACCCTCGCCTTGCGCTGGTGATGTCATGAGGAGTGGACAATAAGGAGACCGGCGAGCAAACAGGAAGTGCTCTGAGCCCCTCCCTGCACACGCTGGACTCGCAGGACTCATCTGTGTCAGCGTCAAAGACATTTGATCTGAAATGGTCCAACTACAGGACGAGCAGCTTCTAAGACTGCAGGGACACAGGGAGGGCATCCAACACACAGAGACATCTCTCACCCTGTCTCCTCTCACCCTGTCCTCTCTGTCTCCTCTCACCCTGTCTCCTCTCACCCTGTCCTCTCTGTCTCCTCTCACCCTGTCTCCTCTCACCCTGTCCTCTCTGTCTTCTCTCACCCTGTCCTCTCGGTCCCATCTGACCCTGTCCCCTGTGACCCTGTCCTCTCTCTCTCCTCTGTCCCTGTCCTCTTTTCCCCCTCTGACTCCTCTGTCCTGTCTGTCCCCTCTGACCCTGTCCTCTCTGTCTCCTCTGAGTCTGCCCCTCAGTCTACTATGTCCCCTCTGACCCTGTACCCTCTGTCTCTGTCTCCTCTAACCCTGTCCCCTCTGACTAGGTCCTCTCTCCCTCCACTGACTGAAGTCCTCTCTGTCCCCTCTGTCTCTGTCCCCTCTGTCCCCTCTGACCCTGTCCTCTCTGTCCCCTCTGACCCTGTCCCCTCTGTCCCCTCTGTCCCTGTTCTCTTGTCCCCCTCTGACTCTAACTCCTCTGACCCGTCTTTCCCCTCTGACCCTGTCCTCTCTGTCTCCTCTGAGCCTGCCTCCTCTGTCCCCTCAGTCTTCTATATCCCCTCTGACCCTGTCCCCTCTGACTGTGTCCTCTGTGTTCCCTCTGACCCTGCCTCCTTTGTCCCCTCTGTCTACTCTATCCCATCTGTCCCTGTCCCCTCTGTCTCTGTCCTCTCTGTTCCCTCTGACCCTGCCCCCTGTGACCCTGTCCTCTCTGTCTCCTCTGACCCTGCCCCCTGTGACCCTGTCCTCTCTGTCTCCTCTGACCCTGCCCCCTGTGACCCTGTCCTCTCTGTCTCCTCTGACCCTGTCCTCTCTGTTCCCTCTGACCCTGCCCCCTGTGACCCTGTCCACTCTGTCCCCTCTGACCCTGTCCTCTCTGTCTCCTCTGACCCTGTCCTCTCTGTCTCCTCTGACCCTGTCCTCTCTGTCTCCTCTGACCCTGCCCCCTGTGACCCTGTCCTCTCTGTCCCCTCTGACCCTGCCCCCTGTGACCCTGTCCTCTCTGTCTCCTCTGACCCTGCCCCCTGTGACCCTGTCCTCTCTGTTCCCTCTGACCCTGCCCCCTGTGACCCTGTCCACTCTGTCCCCTGTGACCCTGTCCTCTCTGTTCCCTCTGACCCTGCCCCCTGTGACCCTGTCCTCTCTGTCCCCTCTGACCCTGTCCTCTCTGTTCCCTCTGACCCTGCCCCCTGTGACCCTGTCCTCTCTGTCCCCTCTGACCCTGCCCCCTGTGACCCTGTCCTCTCTGTTCCCTCTGACCCTGTCCCCTGTGACCCTGTCCTCTCTGTCCCCTCTGACCCTGTCCTCTCTGTTCCCTCTGACCCTGCCCCCTGTGACCCTGTCCTCTCTGTCCCCTCTGACCCTGTCCTCTCTGTCCCCTCTGACCCTGTCCTCTCTGTTCCCTCTGACCCTGCCCCCTGTGACCCTGTCCTCTCTGTCCCCTCTGACCCTGTCCTCTCTGTCCCCTCTGACCCTGCCCCCTGTGACCCTGTCTTCTCTGTCCCCTCTGACCCTGCCCCCTGTGACCCTGTCCTCTCTGTCTCCTCTGACCCTGCCCCCTGTGACCCTGTCCTCTCTGTCTCCTCTGACCCTGCCCCCTGTGACCCTGTCCTCTCTGTCTCCTCTGACCCTGTCCCCTGTGACCCTGTCCTCTGTGTCCTCAGGCAGGGCTGGTGTCTCCAGACTGTCCCGAGCAGCTGTTGATTGCTCTGGAGCCTGAGGCCGCGTCCATCTACTGCCGTAAACTCCGCCTTCACCAGGTGATTGACCTGAGCACGCAGCTAATCCCCAACGGCCTGGGCACGGACGAGTCCCGCCCCTTTGACTCCAGCTTCAGACAAGGTACCGCCCCCCTCACTGTCTCACACAGCCCAGACCACACCCACCTTTAGGTCCACCGCCATCTCATCAAAAACATGCCTGAAGACGTTTTAGATGTCTTCTATGTAAGCTTGAGTAATCTAGCAATCTCTTCCCAGCCCTATTTGATCTGTCCTTGCAGTTAGCAGTACGAGCCTGTACAAGGCTCCACCCACAAGCCTACTACTCCCATGCTCCCACATGACAGTTCTCCATAAATGTACAAAAGCATGATCCAAAACTGTGCACAGCAACTGGACAAACCTGGTGTGATGTGCAGGAGTTTCATTAGTGGGACGCACGTTGATTATGTTGTGATAGTGCTCAGAAGGGGGAGTGACTTAACACAGGGAGGGGAGACTCAGACCAAAGCTTATATAACGTGTTAATATGTTGTTTATAATTAATATAGCATTTTCAGAACAATAAAAGGTAACAGTGATCTAAATCTGTTATATTTTGTGTATGTGTTTGCGTATATGTGCTCCAGACAATAGTTCATGCCTTCATATGTGTTCCAGATAGTAGTCCTTCTCAGGGTTACACAAAGAGCGATTGCGAGCTCATGTGAAATGTGATCCATAAGTCTGAGTGTGCTGGCCCAACGGCACGCAGGCAGGGACTCTAATTGGAACAAGGTGCAGGCAGCGGAGCCATGATTTCACCCTCACCCTGTCACCACACACACACACACACACGCACACACGCGCACACACACGCGCGCGCACACACACACACGCGCGCACACACACACGCGCACACACACACACACACGCATAGGCACACACACACACGTAGGGTTTCCATGCTTTGTGGGGACTTCCATTCATCTGTTGAAGATTGGTCTGAGTCTCTGTCATCGTCACAACACCAGGGGTCTCGGGAGGTACCAGCAGCTCTCCAGCCCCGTACAAGTGGCTCACCAGAGGATTTCGGAACTATACATACTGTGCTGAGTAGGGATGTGCAAAAATATCAAAATATTGATTTATCGAATCATTTCCTGTGATGATACAGTATCGATACGGGTTCACATAGAGGGTGTTTAGTGGATGTTTATGAGGTGGTTGTCTTATGGGGGTGCTTTACACTGTTATGCACTTTTAAAATACTATGTTGTTTGTATGATACTCTAACATCATTTTGTTATTTTATGACAATGACAATAAAGGAAATGAACTGAATTGAAATTGAATCAATATCGTGGGCTGCTCTATTGATATCGATATCGCCAAGAGTATTTGATATATTTTACTAAATTACTTTGTTACAGAGCTAACAGAGCTTCTTGTTTAAAGGGAGGAAAGTATGAACTTTGCATAAGAAGTAATTTAACAAAGACTTTTCTTGTCACAGCCATCATTTTGCCTAGCGTGCTGAAAGCTCACTATATCCAGATTTGTATCGTATCGTGGCCTGTGTATTGAGATAGGTATCATATTGGCAACTTCTTAATGATACCAGCCCTAGATCTGAATGACTCAGTTTGATGAATTTCCATTGTAAATGTGTTGTTTTGATGCCTAACCCAAGTGCATGAATGAATAGATACAGGTTTGTGTTTTATTGAGATCTCACTGTTCCTCGTCTAACACTTGCTCAGCTCTGACCATTAAAATGAGTAGCTCTTTGGCATTTTCTTATTGTAAAGTGAGCTCACTGGAGGAGAAAGACTGGAGACCCCTGCACTACACACAGCACCATCATTTCAATATTTTTCCTCTTTCTTCCCTCAAAATAGCTCCCAGACCCCCTCTCCCGCTCTCCCTCTTCGTTGTGTTAAAGTGGAGGTATTTTACTTCTGTGGTGTATTCACAGCCAACACATAACACTTAGATTCAGATCATCATTATTGTTCTGAAAATACCATATTTACCATAAACAACCTATTACATCCTTTATAGACTTAGACAAACTCTATTGATCCACAAGGGAAATTACTTGAACACTTTTGTTTTTGTGTTGTTTTTTTATGCTCTGAGACTTTCTTCCCTTTGCTCTCCATGTTGAGTCACTCCCCCTTCAGAGCACTATGACAACACAATCAGCGTGTATCTCGCTAATGAAACTACTGCATCAGGTTTTGTCCAGTTGCTGTGTACAGTTTTGTAAGTATGTTTTTGTATATTTATGGAGAATAGTGGTGTGGGAGCATGGCTGATGTAGGCTTGTGGACAGAATCTTAAAGCTAACTGTAAGGAGGATTTGAATAGGGCCTGGGAGAGATCGCTAGATTACTCAAACCTGCATGTATGACATCTAAAATCTCTTCTGACATGTTCTTGATGAGAGAACAACATTATAACATGGTTGAAAGCTCCAAAAAGTAATAATACCCCCTCTTTAAGGTTAGGTAAGTTGCGATGATGGTTAAAGGGCCTGTATGGCACTATATTCTCATCTCTGTTCTAATGTAGCTTCCTCATCAAAAACATACTTGTATCATTCACATACATTTAATACACAAACCCAGCAGATTTATTCGTATTTATTTTTGTTTGAGCAGCGTACATTACAAACAAATAAGGACATTTATATGTACATGATTGCAACTATTTCTGCTGAAGATTGAAGTTTATAAAAACATATTGTGTCCTGCTCTCAGTTGTTTTACGTTAACACATGGTTGACACACACATAAATACTTATGTACAGTACATACACATATACATATACATACACACACACACACGCACACACATGCACACACGCACACATACATACACACATATGCATAAACACATACTGTATATACATATATGCACAAATATATTTTCGTTGTGGCTGTACAAACTAATAATAAGGATTGTCAATGACTGTTATTGTGAATGAATAATAATTAGTTCTTCTCTTACCAAAAAAAAAAACAAAACACTCCACCTTGTGATGTCATGTGATAATACAGGAAGTGTTCCATTGTGTTTTTAAACTACATACACCTTCATTAGAATAATCTGGATGATTTAAGACCCTGGAATTTCCAATCTCTACTGAACTAAAAGTAAAAGGAGCTGTTCACTTGAAAACGACCACTTCATGACATCACAAGGTGGAACAGAGAGTGTTACTGAAACATGTGAATGAAAGAAAACACAATTCCAGGTGTGTTTTTGAGGATCCTGGGCTGTAAATTGGGCTATAGTTACAAAATTTTGGAGGTGTACGTCAGTTGACGCAAACGCTCTGCAGAAGGAGTTTAAGATGATGCAGACTCTCTTCGTCGTAACGCAGAAGATTTGGCACATGACCAAAAACTGGGCTTAATAATAAAGAGTTACTCAAACATGTGTGAATGAAACACAACTCCAGGTGTGTTTTTGAGGAGGAAACAACATTCCTCATTACTCATTACTTAAAGCTCACAAGTTTCCAGTTTTCCAGCTTAACCTTTAAGATTTGACTCAGTCTCAAGGAAAAGAATGGAAGCATAGAAAAAAAAAGCATAGAAACAAAGTGAGTGTGTGTGTTGTAACATGAACATGTGTGTGTGGCAGCGCGGGAACAGCTGAGGAGGTCCCGACACAGCAGAACGTTTGTAGTGGAGAGCGGGACTGGTGACCTGTGGTCCGAACTGCAGACCGGTTTGTACCACACACACACACACACACACACACACACACACACACACACACACACATACGGCTCTAGTGTGCACACTCCCCTCTTGGCCTGTGGACCAGGCTCGTCTCTGTGCTCTGTCCCTGTGGTTATCTGCTACACAGTCACCAGGGGGCGCACACATTTATGTTTATGTTCTGTCTGAGTTCAGCTCAGTCCTCTGACTGTTCAGCCAGTCCTCATCCTCCTTTTGGGGATCAAAGCCTTATCTTACCTCAAAACAAAAGGGCCATGAAAGATTGTAGCTGGGTTTTAAAGCAGGACTAAAGTGAGACTAAAGCAGTGCTACAGTACCACAGGACCTCTCATGTCCTTGGGCTGGCTTGGCAGTTTGAAGCCCACTTTCTCTTGTTATACTGTCCATGGGCAAGACACTTCTCCACTGTCTCTGGTTTGTGAATGGGTGAGTGGTTCTTTGGGATCATGTGTTTCTGAACACTAGTAGGACAGGTGAAAAGCACACACACACGTCTGTGATTGTGTGTTTGCCCTGACGCCTGGTCCTCCTCAGGTGACCGTTACGTGGTGGCTGACTGTGGAGGTGGGACTGTGGACCTGACTGTGCACCAGATCGAGGAACCCCAGGGAACGCTGAAGGAGCTCTACAAGGCCTCAGGTACTGCACCCTGCACCCATCTTAAGAGCAGCTTTTTTCACACACACAAGTAAAGCTGCCAAGACTAGGAAACCACAGTGCTACTTTTGCCTGATGAGAAAAAAAAAACTTGTTATTAGGTGCAGACTAATAGAGAATAGAATGTTGCTTTTACAATATACTCTTCATGAAAACACAAGACTGACAAGATTGATTGATTTACAAAATAAGAAGTGAGGAACACCTGTGTGCAGGAGGTCCATACGGGGCCGTGGGGGTGGACCTGGCCTTTGAGTCCATGCTATGTCAGATCTTTGGAGAAGACTTCATCCAGAGTTTCCGCGCCAAGCGTCCTGCAGCCTGGGTGGACCTGAGCATCGCCTTTGAGGCCCGCAAACGTACAGCTGCCCCAGGACGCACCAACGCCCTCAACATCAGCCTGCCCTTCTCCTTCATCGACTACTACAAGAGGCACCGTGGGCACAGCGTGGAGGCGGCGCTCCGGAGGACCAGGTAGCAGGGGACGAGGGGTGGGAGGGGGAGAGAACAAGACCGTAGGCCTGGTACAATAACACCATTCATATTGATACTTTGGGTGTTTGGGTACATTACATTCTGTATGTATTGCTATGGTGGAATGTTTCTGTAGTTACCACGGTGACACGATGTACACATTAGGAAACAAAATGTTTTAAGACGGTCTGAAAATTCTAGGAAAAATACAAAATGGATTTAAACAGCACATTTTCAGGAGCCTGTGATCAATCCAAGAGTTAATGGTCCTGTTTAGGAGTTAGATTTTCAACCAAGAGAGCCCAGCTTGTGACTATAATGTTATTTGAGAGGAACATGTTTAATGGCTCAAATCAGCTCACCTGTTGTAGTTTCAACTAAGTCAGCTCGTCACGGGTCAGACTGTGTTAAAATAAAGCTCAAATTAAAGTTTAACGTGAGTAACAGACCCTCAGACAGAGCAATGCCTACAGTTAGCCACACACCCCCAGGGAATGTTGATGACATCAGCTGCAAAGTACGACAGCCATGATGAACATGATCAGATGAACATGTTCTGAAGTGTATGGGATTCTTGGATTCATCTGAGTTTAGATATTAGTCTCTCTTCTGTTTATGATGCCCCTGTAGTGTGCTCCGAGCTCACACACACTTCCACTGGCTCTGTGTCCTGTGTGTGACCAGTCTGTGTCCTGTGTGTGACCAGTCTGTGTCCTGTGTGTGACCAGTCTGTGTCCTGTGTGTGACCAGTCTGTGTCCTGTGTGTGAACAGTCTGAACATGGTGAAGTGGTCATCTCAGGGAATGCTGCGGCTCACCCAGGAGGCCATGCACGAGCTCTTCCAGCCCACCATCCACAGCATTGTCACACACATCGGTAAGAGACACTGGTCTACAGGGACAGAGGGGTAAGAGACACTCGTCTACAGGGACAGAGGGGTAAGAGACACTGCACTACAGAGACAGAGGGGTAAGAGACACTGGTCTACAGAGACAGAGGGGTAAGAGACACTGGTCTACAGAGACAGAGGGGTAAGAGACACTGCACTACAGAGACAGAGGGGTAAGAGACACTCGTCTACAGAGACAGAGGGGTAAGAGACACTGCACTACAGAGACAGAGGGGTAAGAGACACTGGTCTACAGGGACAGAGGGGTAAGAGACACTGCTCTACAGAGACAGAGGGGTAAGAGACACTCATCTACAGAGACAGAGGGGTAAGAGACACTGCACTACAGAGACAGAGGGGTAAGAGACACTGGTCTACAGGGACAGAGGGGTAAGAGACACTGCTCTACAGAGACAGAGGGGTAAGAGACAATGGTCTACAGGGACAGAGGGGTAAGAGACACTCGTCTACAGGGACAGAGGGGTAAGAGACACTCGTCTACAGGGACAGAGGGATAAGAGACACTCGTCTACAGGGACAGAGGGATAAGAGACACTGCACTACAGAGACAGAGGGGTAAGAGACACTGCTCTACAGGGACAGAGGGGTAAGAGACACTCGTCTACAGGGACAGAGGAGTAAGAGACACTCGCCTACAGGGACAGAGGGATAAGAGACACTGCTCTACAGAGACAGAGGGGTAAGAGACAATGGTCTACAGGGACAGAGGGGTAAGAGACACTGCTCTACAGAGACAGAGGGGTAAGAGACACTGCTCTACAGAGACAGAGGGGTAAGAGACACTTCTCTACAGGGACAGAGGGGTAAGAGACACTGCTCTACTGGGACAGAGGGGTAAGAGACACTGCTCTACAGAGACAGAGGGGTAAGAGACACTGCTCTACAGAGACAGAGGGGTAAGAGACACTGCTCTACAGGGACAGATGGGTAAGAGACACTCGTCTACAGGGAGAGAGGGGTAAGAGACACTGCTCTACAGGGACAGAGGGGTAAGAGACACTGCTCTACAGGGACAGGGTTAGCGCTACATTTCTTTTCACCTCAGACATGTCCATTTCTCAGCATCACGTTAAAAAATTTGCAGGTTTTTCCATCTGCTTTCACTTTCACTGTTCCCAGCAGAGGGCGCAGATATTCCACTCTCAGTATTCAACCCAAACTCCGTGGACATTATATGAAAAATCATCCTACTGTAAAACCTGGGAATAACCTCATGTCTCCTCCCTCCCACCCCCAGAGGAGCTGATGAGCCGGCCTGAGGTGCAGGGAGTGCGCTTCCTCTTCCTGGTGGGCGGGTTTGCGGAGTCGGCCATGCTGCAGAGGGCCATCCAGAGGTCTGTGGGGCGCAGCTGTCGCGTCATCATCCCACACGACGTGGGCCTGACCATCCTGAAGGGGGCGGTGCTGTTTGGCCTGGACCCCAGCGTGGTGAGGGTGCGCCGCTGCCCGCTCACCTATGGGGTGGGCGTGCTCAACCGCTTTGTGGAAGGGAGACACCCGCGGGACAAGCTGCTGCTGAAGGACGGACGCGAATGGTGCACTGATGTCCTGGACCGCTTTGTCTCCGTCGACCAATCAGTGGCTCTGGGAGAAGTGGTGAGGCGGAGCTACACGCCGGCACGCGTGGGCCAGCGGAAGATCATCATCAACATCTACTGCAGCCGTTCGGACGACGTGGTGTACGTGACGGACCCCGGGGTGAGGAAATGCGGCACCATCACACTGGACCTGCCCCAGCCCCTGCCCGGCCCCGGGACCACAGGGGCCACCGCAGGAGGCCCGCCACAGCGCAGGGAGATCAGAGCCTCCATGCAGTTTGGAGACACGGAGATCAAGGTGACCGCTGTGGACGTCATGTCCAACCGCTCAGTGCGGGCGTCTGTGGACTTCCTGTCCAACTGAGCAGAAGAAGTGGAGACAGAGACCCCAGAGTCCCCTTTTTGGACACACCCAGAGTACATACACACAATCCCCTTAAAGGACACACTCAGAGGACATACACACAGTCCCCTTTAAGGACACACCCAGGGGACAGACACAGACCACTGTAAGGACACACCCAGGACATACACACAGGACAGTCCTTCAGAGGACAGTCCTTCAGAGGACAGTCCTGCTGAAGAGTGTAGTCCTGGAGAACTCTGAACATCAGCACTTTGACCTGAGTACTTAAGCACTGAACCAGTGTGCACCCTCTACAGGTGAACCATACTTAAGCAGTGGACAGAATGAACAGAAGTGACGCTAAACACACCGAGAACACTCCATCCTCTGCCTCTCATCTGCTAACTGTATGCCCTCTTGTGACTACATCCTTAACTGTCTTTGACCTTCTCTGAGGCCTGGACCTCCTACTCTATCCTTTTTGTACACAAATGAACCACAAGTGCATTTACACTTTACATTTAGAATGTCTAACTGCAGGACATCTCCTGAACGTGTAAAGACTGACCTGTGAGCCTGGAGTTTATATGATAAACTCAGCAACACACTGGCTTAGGCAGCTACAGTAAAGGCTGCTCTGGCCAGAAGACTGAATATAAAAGGCCACATAGTGGCCATATGCTTTCAACTTAAAAAATGTTGGAAACCAATGTCTTAATGTCTTCACAATGATGTAATGCAAACATACTCATGTGTCATTATATGAAGGTTATTTACTGTGAGAAAAATAAAAGAACAGTTTTTGTTTATGTCCCTTTAAAGAGCTGCCCTTTATGCTGGCTGATGTGCACTTTGTTTTTATGATATGAATTTTAAGAGTAAGACGAAAAAAGTGCACACAAACAAAAGCACGGTTTGAGCTGTGACTTTATTAATGACACTGGTCCAATAAATAATCGTACACAGCAGAAGCACAGACACCTCCGACCTGTCCTCCTCTGAACGCAGCCCAGTATCCCAGCAGAGGACCACAGAAGACCAAGTTCAGTATAGAGGCTGGACAGAGGCAGGACAGATCAGAGCTGCTGCTCCGGAGGATCTGGTGCAAACAGCCCAACACAACGCCCCCGACAACAGTAAAAAACAGGAAATGTCCACTACAGTCCGCCCCCGAACCCGGGTGAGTTCTCCGGGTGCAGACCACATGACCCCGAAGTGACCTTAGACCCCTCAGTGTGCGTGAGGTCTGCCCCGGCCCCGGCCCCTCCCCCCTCCCATGGGCGGTCCGTCCACGCTGCTGCGTGGGTTCTTGATGGTCTCGTCCACGGACAGGATGAGGCAGGCGGCTTCAGAGGCGGCGGTCAGGGCGTTGATGCGAACGACGGACGGCTCCCACACGCACGCCACAAAGTTATCGGCGATGTCCTCGTTGTTGATGTCCACGCCATACCACATCCCGCCCTGGCACAAACACACAAGGAGCAAATGTTCACTAAAGCACAGGGTTTTGCTTTTAGTTTACACCTTTTTCATTTATTATTTACCTACTCTACACTTTAGGCTCAATTTCTCTAGAATCATTTTAGATGCTACAAGAAGACACGAGGCCATTTTGAGCACTGAGGATGTCAGCATGTGAGCAGGAACATGTTTTTACTTTATCTGCATGGGTTTCACTCTGGGTGTGTTGCTAGAGTGTATGTGTGTGTGGTGTTAGCCTGTACCTGCGCGTGCTTGGCCCGGAGCTTGTTGAGGATGTTGGTAGCGTCAAAGCCTGCGTTGTCACACAGCTGTCGGGGGATGACCTCCAGAGCTTTGGCGTAGGCTCCAATCAGCAGCTGCTGTTTGCCTGGGATGGTCCTGGAGTAGTCCCGCAGGTATTTTGACAGCTCCATCTCAATGGCACCTCCCCCGGCCACGATCGAGTCATTCTGCCACATACACACACTCTTAGCCCTGGCACGTTCACACAGAAAAGGGGGAGGCACACATTAAGGGGACTGACCTTGATGGCGCGACGTACGATCATGATGGCGTCGTGTAGTGAGCGCTCCGTCTCCTCTGTGAACTGCTCGGCTCCTCCTCTCAGGATGATGGTGCACGTCTTCGCCTTGGGGCAGCCCTTAAAGAAGTTGTACCTATGGACACACAGGACTGTGAGGATTCCTCTCTGACAGAATACACATGTTCACAGTAGACGTACTGAAGAAGACTTTGTGTCTGTTATATTGTACGACCCCTGTGGAGCATTAGGTTATCATTTGGACATTTTAAATCACAGTATTCATCTAAGACGACTTCGCATTCTGAATACATGGTTAAAAGCTCTGAAAAGTATTTGCATAATAGGTCTGCTCTAAACCTGAGCTTTTAGAATATACACTGTCCCTGAAATTAAATACTAAATATACATTAGTAATAAAACTTCAATGTACATTTGAGCAGTAGATAGTTGAGTGTACAGAGAAGTGTTAGTGGTCGTCAGAGTGCAGGTAGGCCCTCACCTCTCTCCTCCGACCTGCACCTCCTCAAAGAGCTCACACTGTCCCAGGACGTCATCAGTCATGTTCCCCACAGATGTCTGGATGGAGCCGCCACAGGCCTGTCACACATGGGGTTAACGTGAGCTGACAGAGCCTGTCTAACAATAACACACACACAGACAGAGCCCCCTGTCCAACCACATATCGTTAAGGATTTACGTAACTTCTATTTGTTTCAACACTGCTTATTGATCCACTCCATTAACAGTTCTCTTAATGGGACTGTTACAGGGAAAGTGTAGTCACACTCTTGAAACACTTGATATTTCAACTCAAAGTAAGCCTATGTAAATTAGAGTATTTAATACCTTACAATTTAGAGGCAGCAGTGACCAGCTTTATTTCACATAGACTAAATAAAAAGGCCAATAATGTACTCTCTTGGAGTTTCTCCTCGTGTGATCACGAAGGAGCACATGTATGGTGAACAAGCATGAAACTTTGGTACTTTTATAAGACATGGCTGGTGCGTGAGACCTGTGGGCTCTGCTTTGATTTCCCCGTGTGTGGGGTCAGACCATTTGCACGTGTTCTTCTGGACATCAGAGTGACCATAGCATTTTCACGATAGAGCTTATTGATCCACTGGACTGTTTCATAACCAACCCTACCACACACACACACACACACACACACACACACACACACACACACACACACACACACACACACACGCTTACCATCATGGTGCGTTTGAGGTCCTCCTCCTGCACTCGGCCTGCACAGAACAGGTCTCTGTCGGCAAAATACTGTGTGGCTACATCTCCAATGGGCAGCTTGGACAGCACCACTTTGGCTCCAGACTGGTAGATCTTCTCCAGTTTGTCGTACAGGATGTTCCACTCGGCGTCTACAATGGCCTGGTAGTCCTGACATGTGCAAGGACACAAAACTCAAATCACAACTGGTCAGTACCAGAAATACATTTCAAACTAAAATGATTACTAGTCAGGGTCAAAATTAGGATGTCCTTGAGAAGACCATGACTAAAATAGAACATCTTATTAACACATTTTGATTTTAAGCTTTATGGAGAAGAAGAACATTTCTAGATGGTTTTACTATCCACACACACACACACACAGATCCACTACACACTACAGCTGTATAGACTGAGGTACCTCCACAGACTTGACTCGCACTTCTGCGTTGTCCTTCTCGGCCTTCAGCTCCAGCTCCACGTTGAGCAGAGCGATCTTTGGGTTCTCGTAGCGTTTGGGCTGCATCTCAAAGCCAGCGTATGAGAAGGTCTTCTTGAAGGCAACCCCAAGTACCAGCTGGGAGTCCTGTGACATACACGTGCATACTTGTGTTTAGTAGTGAATTTTTAGACAGGCTCCTGGTTTTAATATAAGTTTAGTCATACCTCCAGAGCTCCTCCCTGGACCTTCTTGATGCCAATCATCTTGAGTGGCAGCAGCTCATCCAGAGACATGACCGCGTCCACCACCATCTTGGAGAAGAAGTCCTTCTGTCCGGCGATGAGCTTGGAGTTGAGGGCTGTGGCTGCACATTTCTCCAGTAGTTTCCTCTGCTCCCTGCACAGGACACAGGGTCAGGACAGAACAATCGAACTCCTGGATTCAACCTCACATCAAATCAAAACAATCAGAACCAAGATTTGCATTTAACAACAGTCTACTGAAAGTGTCGAGGGATTTTGGAAGAAATCAAATGTTTTGGCCATCTGATTCCACCTACAACAGATATCCAGCAATAACACAACACTAATCTAAATAGTTTGAAAAGGGAAAGGTCCTCACAGAATCCTTCATGGTTGCTTCTGGTTTCAGGCAAATGATTCCTCCCTATTTTGAACTGGCAGATTTATATATTTTCTACAGTGATTTTCCTTCAACTTTTTTGTTACAAACTGTGACACTAGGATGAATATTTACCATACCACCACATTCAGGTGTTTAACATGATATCCCTAATGTTGACTTTGGCCCCCTCTATGCCTTACACATGTCTCTGTGCTCTAAACAGTAGTAAAGTAGTACAGTAGTACACTAGTACAGTAGTACACTAGTACAGCAGCAGAGGAACATACTGTTTGTCGTCCTTCTTGACAGACACAGCGATCTCCCTGATCTTGCTGACGGCCAGGCCTGTGGCAGTACGGAAGGCTCTGATGATGGTCTGAGGGTGCAGCCCCTCCTCCACATACGGCTTCAGCTGCTTTAGGAACTCCGCGGCAAGCAGGGTGACAGAGGTGGTGCCATCGCCCACCTGTAGACACAGACACACACGCACACAGATAGATCCATGTTTACAAAAACAAGCCTCAGAATGACAATCAAAGATTAGTTTACCAATGTAAGCTTATATGCTTTACTGGCACTTCAACAATGAACTCAAACATGTTGATTTTCAGGAGATTTGTAACTGAACATTTTGAAAGACAGGCTAGATTCAGCCTGTGAATGTTTTTACAATATTGCAGTGGATTTAAGAGTACAATCATATGATGCAAGGTTCAAATCCTGTCTGCACCAGTAGTGACTGGTTTTAGTCCTGGGTTTCAGATATGGTTATATTGTCTTGAGTCAGACCTATATTTGTGGCTAGCCCTCCTCTCAGTACTAATGGGCCAACGCATCTGCATAGGAAGGAGTTAATTTTTTAAACTACCAGATGGCGCTACAGAATGTCCCCAACACAGTTCCAACACCAACACAGTGTTCATCTACCCATCACTACGTGAAACTGAAACTAACAGCCCAAATGAGACTCCTTATGAAGCTCATTCTGCTTTCTGATTTGATAGTCATCTTGAGAAATGATAAACAAATTGAGCATCATGTCCCGTGTTTTTATAATAAAGAATAAATCATTACAATATTATCAATAAGCTGAATTTGGTTTGGATCATAACTAGGGACACAGATAGGTCATCTTTGTGACATCACCATCAGACTCTTCATAATTAAAACAAGGATTTTGTTTTGTAATAAAATTCCTTGCATCATGGTTTGAGCCCTAGTCTGACCTCTGCATCCTGTGAGCGGGCGATGTCCACCAGGGTCTTGGCGGCCGGGTGCACCACGTCTAGCAGCTTGAGGATGGTGGCTCCGTCGTTGGAGATGGTGGCTTTGCCTGGACACAAACACACTTTATCAGTGTGACCTTCTCCTCCTGCAGGTTTCCCATGATGTTTCACTGCGTACTCACCTCTGCCGTCCACCATCAGCTTGTCCATGCCGCGGGGCCCCAGGGTGGTCCTCACTGCCTCAGCAATCACCTACACACAGTTCACTTATTTGATTTGGATTTTGT